TTCTTTCTTTCTTTCTTTCTTTCTTTCTTTCTTTCTTTCTTTCTTTCAACTTTGAGTGCCAGTTGTAAATTAGGATTTTGGGAATCCAAGGGGGATGAAACCTCCCTGAAATACGGGTAAGTGTATCCTCAACTTACGACCAGAGGTCTGAATTTCTGCTGCTAAGTGAGACATTGGAGCGAGGGAGCGCTGGTCCCGTTTTTACGATCTTTCCGGCCACGGTTGTTAAGTGAATCACTACAGTTGGTGAAGTTAGGAAACCGGTTGTTCAGCGGATCCGGCTTGGCCATTGGCTTGGCTTGCCGAAGGTCACAAAAAGGGAATCAGTCGTAAATATGAGTCAGTTGCTGATGGTTTGGGGTTTGATCAAGTGATCCTGAGGAGGTTGCAACGGCCATTAAGTGTGAAAAAGTATCCCGAAGTTCCTTTTTTGAGGCCATGAGTCTGAAAAACCGTCCCAAAACTCCCTTTTCTCAGTGCCGTGGTGAGTTTGGACCGTCACTAAACGAACCGCTTATAAATCGAGGACTTCTTATACAGGAGATGAACCGGGGGGGGGGAATGCAGAAACGGAGAACATTTAATCCGATCAGATTTAACTTTGGGCGAAAGAGAGACGGAAGCTGCCCGAGGACTGAAACGGCTGAAGCTGCAAACTGTGCTTAAAGTTTAAAAACGTTGGAAACCTAAAAATCTTGTTCAGTTTGGAGTTAAAAGTTAAAAAAACTGTTCAGCGGCATTTTGTTTTTTTCACCTGAGTGAATAAATGCATAAGGTGCTAACTTTTGATTTCGGTGCTTTTGTTGGTAAAAATGTCTAAAGAAGATTTAAGACGGATGGACTTCAACTCCCAGAATTCCTCAGCCAGCATGCATGAATTCGGGGAGTCGAAGTCCGTCCCTCTAAAATAGGGAATTCTGGGAGTTGAAGTCTGCCCCTCTAAAGCAGGGAATTCTGGGAGTTGAAGTCCGCCCCTCTAAAATAGGGAATTCTGGGAGTTGAAGTCCACCCCTCTAAAACAGGGAATTCT